AAATAAAAAATGATTTTTAGTCGTTTTTCATTTTTTGTTTTCGTTTTCTCCTCTCTCGAGCGGAGAGAGAAACATTAATAAGTTTTTTTAGAATGAAAATAATCTCTTAATAAAACTACCAAACGCATTTTCAAAAATGATTTCTATCTGAGATTGAAAACGTTTTCATTTTCATTTTTATTTATAAAATAAAATCATTTTAAAACGAGTTCCAAACGCGTTCAAAATAACCCCTTATACACGTTTGACCGGTCAAATTTAAAAATACCAAAACCTACTCTCAATAATAGGTTGTATTTGTTAAGAAATCTAAGTTACGATTGAATATCCATCTCAAATTATGGATTAGATTGCAACAATACATTATCTGATTACATTAGATAATTAACTCACCTTAATTGCCGTAGCCCCAAATATACATTAAAGCTCTTTTTTACAATGAGGTCTTACTTTTACTTTTAGTCGGTAAAAGAAGAGAAATAAAAATTGTGATTTTTTGTTGAGTGTTTGGAATAAAAAAGCTTAATGGGTCAAAATAGTTTTTAAATTTTTTAATAAACAATAAAAGTGTTGGAATAAAGTTTATAATATCTTAATAAATTACTCAGCTATAAGTTTTAAGATATATTCATAAATACGTTTTTTAAAAGTTTTATTTTGTGATTTTGATTGAAAACTCTTCTGAAAAGTCAAAACACTCGTGACAAATTATCTAAACACTTTCAAAAACAAGGTTTGGACGTAGGAAGCTAAAAGCAGCTTTTATTAGGAACTATTGGTTTTACGCTAAAGAACAACTTTGAAACAATCCTTCACTTGCTTTAATTTATTAAAATGGTGGTTTAGCTCGTTTGTTTGTTAAAAGAGATTGGCATCCTTAATTGTAGCTATTCCTAGTTCTACAGTTCAGTAATCCATGATTTTAGGCGCTCTATTATTGTAGGCATTTCTCTAATTTAATTTTCCCTATTTGAATATATTTAGCATGTATAAATATCCATCTAGTACTCTTGAAAATAGACAAGACCACAATTTTTTCAATTTTCATCTTTCTTATAACTTTTATTTTTTCATGGTATCAGATTTATTCAAATGGTCTCCTTGATCTACAGATTTTATTTATTTTCCACTTAGGTTTATTTTTCGGTCAGTATTTTATTTTCTATTTAGTTTTACTTTCCGGTGGTCTTTTTACCTTTCGTCCAAGTTTGTTTGCCTATCATTAGTATAGACTGTTTGTTGTATTAATTTTGGTATTTTTGATTTTGCAAAGTTTATTGATATTCAAGCTCTTACATTTATACGATGTATTCAAAATTCCTATTCTTTCATGTTTTTCTAGTTGTTTAGTTATTATTATTATTATTATTATTATTATTATTATTATTTCATTTTTACACCTTGCATTCGAGGTTACCACACACTGAATTTATGAAACTATATCAATTCCTTCAGATTTTGAATTTGTGCACAATGTCAATCTTTTTCTTGTCAAGCGTGAATTTTGGCTGCAAAACGGCCCAAACACCATTAAAGAAAAAAATGAAAAATAATAATAATAAAAACTAAAAATTCCAAAATGTGAAGGCTATTTAGGTCTTTTACCATCAAAATCCACTTTTGAACGGAAAAATATAATAATTTAACATGAATTTAAAATATGAAGTAACAAATAGAATACTAATCAAAATATAAAGTGTGATATTTTGATTATCTCAAATGTAGCGTATAAAGTGAGGGGGAAAAACATTTGTTTATTTGTTGAACGGAATACCTTTCATGATGTTTATTTGATACTAGTGTTTAGAGCGCTATGCGAGTAATTTATTTGAAATAACAATTATATAAATTATTTTTTAGAGAAAAAAAAAGACAGAAAATAAGTGAAGACACAAATAGGAAAATATCCTAAGCAAAAAATAGGAAATAAAGATTTTAACTTTTTTTTTTGTGTTTTAAATTACTTTTATTTTATTTAATTTATTTTTTATTTAATCAGGCGTGATTTTATTCTATTTTAATGTATTTTTGTTTAATTTTATTTTTTATTCAAATTATTTATAACATTTGTATCTTAATAGAAGTGAAAATTTGGTGCATGATGGTGTAAAAACGGACAAAATCAGACAACAAATCAACTAAAAATAAACAACAAATAGAATAAATAATAATAAAAAAGAAATTTAGAAATTATTATGACTGTCGGATGGAGAGGCGCTCACGTGATTCATTTAAAATAATAGTTATACAAATTATTTAAAAAAAGAAAAAGAAAGAAAAAAGGACAAAAAAGAAGCAAAAGACAATGAAATTTTTTTTTTTGTTATTTTTTAAATTAGTTATATTTTATTTTGTTTCACTTGTTTTTTATTTAATTTACCTTGCTTTTATTTTGTTTGAGTGTATTTTTGTTTAATTTTATTTTTTATTTGAATTACTTTTAGTATTTTTATATACATAGCATTAGAAATTTAGTGCAAAACAGTGTTAAAATGGACAAAATTAGACAACAAATAAGGGTCTATTTAGTTTGTTGATTCAAATTAAGATATAATTTTATATGAGAGCTTTTTACTATAATAAAAATGTTAAATGTGACTTTTTCTTATAGTTTTTACTGTAACAAAATTTAAATTTTAAACTTACATCGGTGAAATAAACGAGGGTCTAAGTTAAAAACAAACAAATAAATAAAATAGATACAAAAAATTAATAATTATATCCGGAATGTCACGCCCAGACGAGGGCACGTGGAGGTCTGTCGGGGCAGGTACGTCTCGTCAGCGGCCCCGCCACTTTCACCACTAATGAATGAGCGCGCGCCACGTGTACATGGCTATTGACCACTTCCTTGTTCGCGTGAGATCCGCTGCAGCGTGTTTTACATGAGGTCGTTTCTACAGCAATGGATTTTGACACGTGTCCACTCAGTTGAACTCTCTAATCACACACTGCCACGTGGATCCCAGTGAAGATGTCTTCCAATCATAGACGGACGCATGACGAGTTTAGTGAACCCAAGCACACTGAATTAGTTTCCTTAACAGTACCAAAAAAGAAAAAAGTGTAACAAAACGTTTCAAAAACCCATTTTTCTTTAGTAATGTTGTATAGATTTGGGTAACTATTGATTTTGTCACATGGGGGCCATACAACATCACGATTTTAATATTGTCAAAAATTTAAATGGAATGTTAAAAATACAAGAGATCACATTGTCATCAATACTAAGCATGGTTTTTCTTTTATTTTTCTTTCTTTTTTTGTCCTAAACCTTACGAGTATGGTTGACACTGCGATTTTCATGCCGTGCATGGTGGGATAGAATTAAACAATGCTTTGACAGTTTATATTCATCAAACCTGTACAAAGGGAATTACGAACTGTAAAACTGTAATGATTTGATGTGTTGAGCGTTTTTTTTTCTTCCCTTTCTTCATAGAAATTTCAAGCTTAAATAAAAGTTTATTTTTTGGTGGAAAATGAACTAATTTCTTCATATAGTTAAATAAGAGTAATTTCATCGGACCACAATAATACATAACCAGACAATAAGTCCAAATATTCAAATAACAATAAAACAAGACAAGAAGTTCAATACACACAACAATGTATTATGATAATATATATATATATATATATATATTATAACTAAACGACAACGATCCAGCTGTAGGAGTGTTAGTGTACATAATAATCAATTTTCATAGAAAAAATAAAATAAAATATATGTATTTGTATATATAATAATCCTTGATGGTAGAAAGCGTAAGGTGGTGACACTCGGGAATTGAGACGTGAATGTTTTGCCGCAGTCAGACAGTGTAATTGATCTTTACCCAATATTTGTGCATTCAAATATTAAGGTGATTTCCTCTCAACTTCAACTCCTCATACTTTACTCTCCTAATTGTAAAGTATTCCTATTTAACTCGTTCCGTTAGAATTTTCATTTAAAACAGACAAAAAAATAGAGAATTAAATATTATCAAGTGATCTTTAATATTTTAGAATTTTTGTTAAAAATAAACAGAAAATATCATGTGACCTTATTTAATTCTTGCATTTTTTTTCTTTTCGAGGACTATTTAACCCAATCTTTTTCCGTGTGCTTTTTACTTTTTAATTAACATAGGATTAATCACACAAGGCTTCTCACTTTTAAAGCATCTCAAATATAACCTTAAGCCATCATTTTGTTGCAGCTTTAGTCCTTACTATCACTCAAGTACTGAAAAGAGGATATATGTACACGTGATGTTTATGAAAAATAACACTACGCTGATGAGATACAAAATATACACGTTATCTTGAAAAAAAAAAAAAAAAAAAAAAAAAAAAAAAAAAAAAAAATTTTTTCACTTTTCTAATAGAAAATCATCTTTTTAAAGACTAAAACTGAAACAAACTAATAATTCAAGGTAAAATTTGAGACGTGTTAAAAATGATAAGAAATGATGAGACGTAAGGACGTTTGGTTGGAGGATTCAAACCATGTGATTCGAATTATTTTCGATTTACGTATATTTTTTGTAAGAGAAAATACTGTAGCGAACCACGAATCATGATTTGAATCAGGGAACGAATCCCTCTACCAAACGGGTGTATTTGTGAAATTAACCCTTTTAACATGAATTCTTTAAAGGGAAAAGTTTTAAAACTGAAATGTCAAAGTGAATGACCTAAGGTTTGAAAATACATATGTCTAATGTGTGGAAATGAGATTGATCCCTTTACTATTATCAAAGAATAGGGATTATTACCATTTTAAACTTCTTTTAACTCTCCCTCCACTCCACATAAACATTCTCACTCTAGGTAGGTCCTGCAGAACTCATACAACGTCGTTTCCCTCTCCATCTCTCTCTCTTTTCTATTCCCATACTGTGTTTGTCTGTTTATACACCTAAAAGCACAATAATTTAGTCCCTTCTCATCGAATGAGGTCGTCGTCATCACCACCACCACTTCTATAAAGCAATTGTAATTCCATACTCTCTTCGTCACCCAATATCCAACTCCTCTCTCTTTCTTCTCCACAAATTCCGGAATACTTTTCTTATTATAATCCGGTGACGAAAATGTCAGCCAAATTGGAACCATGTTTCGCCAAGAAAAGCAAGGAAAGACTGCTCCTCCCGAGGAAGGTTTTCTCGGACTTCAGTCTTCCCATCGCCGGCAGCTCCGACGACCGCGACGGAAGCGCCAATGAGTTCCGATGCTTCCGATCCATGTCCGACGGGATCGCAAATTTCTGGAACAACTTGCACAAAACACTCGTACAATTATACGAAATGGGCCGATCAGATCCTCGCAAAGTCGCGTTCGCCGCAAAGGTGGGCTTGGCATTGGCGATCGTTTCTCTTGCCATCTTCTTCAAAGAGCCTCTCAAGGACATTAACCAGTACGCCATCTGGGCTACTCTCACTGTCGTTCTGATTTTTGAATTCAGCGTAGGTACTATATAACATGTATTCTTTACTCTTTTTTGGGTTTTTTCAAATTTTTTTTTTTTTTTTTCATGTGATCTTAGAGAAGGCTAATTATTGTTTTAATCCTTTTTTTTAATTCATTTTCCTCTGGCAGGTGCAACTCTTAGCAAAGGACTAAATCGTGCGTTGGGGACATTTTCTGCTGGAGGGCTGGCTTTGGGAATTGCGGAAATCTCCATATTGGCAGGGAGATTTGAGGAAGTTATAATTGTGATCAGTATATTCATAGCAGGTTATATATATATATATATATATAACTTACAAGAATACATTTAACCTTGCATTAATTACGTGAAATTAATTAAAAAGAAGACCAGGCTTTATCCTTATCCGGGGAACAGGTACCTAGCTATCTTATAATTTTCTTCAGATCCGGCCATGGATGGACTTATCATTTGCATTTATCTCTCCTTCTCTTTCGATCTGCTCTCTTCGTGTGCTCTTTTTTCGCGATCTGGTGGTCTGTAGTGCCAAATCGAAGGTGGTCAGATCTCTCACTGATTTTTTTGCCAAATTGGACGAGATCTAGGCAAAGATCTGGATAAGTGATTTAATCCGTTCATTTTTCTCATTTTGCACATAAAAAGGAATCGCATTTCATCCCTTTGATAGTGATTTAACGCTGTTTCTTTCCTTTTTTGAGCAGTACTTGTCGTTAACATTGATTTACCTCAAATAGACGGTAACTAACCTTTTTTCTTTCTGGAAGGGATAACTAAATTATTAGGGAGTTTTTTGGTAGGCCTATCCTATCAGTAATGTCAGCATAAACATTTTTTAATGCATATATGATGCAAAAAAATAATGAACTATCAATAACTCATTTTTTCTAATTCTATAAAGAAGCTCCCAATTTATTAATATATTAGTAACTCACTTTACATACTTGGATTTAATGGTAATTTAACAATTAACTACATCTTCATCTCCTAGTTCAGTGGTTGCAGGCATAACATAATGATAATTCCATTTTAAGACTCCACCATAAGGCGTAGAGTTTGAATCCACCACCTTAAGTTAAAAAAAAAAAAAAGTCATCTCACTCAAATTAAGAAAAAAAAAACTTAGTTATAATTAAGTGGGGCATGTACCCCACTCAAATTTTGATCTTTTATGCTACCAAATTTTTCTTATAATCTTCACTTGTGCCCCTGCTCAAGTTTTGAAATCAAGTTTCTTATCGAATTCTTTTAGGAAAAAATAGATAAATATTTCTTTTGAGTGTATGAATTTAGATTTTTATTCCTTATTCATGATTAATATTTTTTTAGTCAGATAACTATATTTGTTAAAAGAGTATTAATTATGAGCAAAAAATAAAAATTAAGACCCATATACTCATAAAAATAAGTTCACTAATTTTCTCCTTTTTTTTTTTATAACATTCAATTGTAACCCCACTCAATTACTGAAGATTATAACTATGACTCTATCTAATGAAAAGTTATTCTTAAAATCCTGCATTTCCTAACTTAGCCACTACTCACTTAACATATGTAACTTACTCATTTAAATCACTCATTAACTTGAAGGGCATTTTTGAATGCTTTTCTATCGAAACAAAAAAACAAAAAAAAGAAAACTTGAAGGGCGTTTTTTTTTTTTTTGTTTTAATAAAACTTCATTACTTAAAAAGGACCATTTAATTATTTATAAAAAAATGAAGGATTCATAAACGACTTTTTTTTCCTTGAAAAATGATTTCGCAAAAAAAAAAAAAAAAAAAAAAAAAAAAACTCTTTTTTTCTTTTAAAGGAAGGCTTTTTTAAATTTTGACATATCTTCTTTTTACGTTATGTTTAGGATTTTGCGCTAGCTATGCCAAACAGTACCCGCCAATGAAGCCATACGAATATGGGTTTCGTGTGTTCTTGTTGACATACTGTATAGTCTTGACGTCTGCGAGTAAAGCCTTTCTCCAAACGGCATTATACCGGTTGATGCTTATTGCCGTTGGTGCTGGGATTTGTTTGGTTGTAAGTATATGTATATTCCCCATTTGGGCAGGGGAAGATCTGCACAAGTTGGTGGTTAAAAATTTCAGGGGTGTTGCTGTTTCTTTGGAAGGTAAGTTTTATGTATGTAGCGGTGTTTTACGTGCCTAAAAGGCTAAAAATATTTGTATACTAGCATTTTCATTGCAATGCAGAATCTCCGTGCCAATATCAAAATTTGGTATTTGGACAGAAAAATACCCTCCAATCCAATGTAATGTTGTACTTGTGTCAAATTGTAATATTTGATTCTGTTTGTTAGTAAGAAGTTTACTTAATAATTCAATAAACAAATTTCCTTTACAAGTTCTAAGGTTACAAATTTATGACAAAAAAAGTAAATGTAGCATTAAAATATCATTATACATTGGAGTACACTTTTCTATGCTAAATATAGTATTGACATGAACATTAACATTGGAGAAGATGCTTATTCTTTTTAATTACTTGATCTGAGTCACTTTATTTTTGCTTAGGTTGTGTTAAGGGATATTTGGAGTGTGTTGAATATGAGAGGATTCCTTCAAAAATTCTCATATATCAAGCTTCTGATGACCAGTTATACAGTGGCTATAGATCAGCTGTTCAATCTTCAACCCAAGAGGAAACTCTAGTGAGTTCATCTTACCATTTGTGCTTCTAGTCCTTTTCCTCAAGTAGGAGCTAAATTAGTTCATGAAACGCGATTGGCGATTTCGCAGTTGGACTTCGCATTATGGGAGCCACCTCATGGCCCTTACAAGGGCTTCAACTATCCATGGAAAAACTATATCAAAGTTGGCGGGGCACTAAGGCATTGCGCATTCACGGTCATGGCTATGCACGGATGTATACTTTCAGAAATCCAGGTAACATGCCCAATTATGCATATATCATCTACTCAATACACAATTCCACTCATTTGCCTAAGGGAAGGCAGACTTCACATGTTCAGTATCACTCCTATAAATGACCATTTTAGCGAGAACATTTATAGCAACGAATCTTTTCGTCATCATAGGGGTTGTACCAATGAATTTTTTATTGGTAAAGACTTGTTTGGTAGAGTCAAAAGCTTCACAAAAAGAGAACTATATTCTCATTATAGCGATGAAAAGTTTTTAAAAATAGGATTTTGAAAAATTTTGTTTAGCATTAATTAGAGAATTGTTCATGACATCCTTTACAATAAAATAAAATAAAATAAAAAATGTGTTCATGACATGCCAATTACATGAAAAAGTGGATATTCTCATAAACAACTATGCCCATATAATATCTTTCCTATTATCAATCTATTTCATTAGAAGGTGTTTAAACTGTGGTTGCATTTGTAGGCACCACCAGAGAAAAGACAGGTTTTCCGAAGCGAGCTTCAAAGGGTAGGTACTGAAGGAGCAAAAGTGCTACGTGAGCTTGGAAGCAAAGTAGAGAAGATGGAAAAATTAAGTTCTAAGGACATACTAGTTGAAGTACACGAGGCAGCAGAAGAGTTGCAAATGAAAATTGACAACAACTCTTACATTCTTGTCAATTACGGAAGCTGGCAAGGGGAAAATCGGCCAAAGGAATTCGACGATCCCGAGAATCTTATGGACCTCAAAGAGAACGAAAACAAGAATTTGGTGATTTCATCGCTTAGTCAAATGTGGGACGACCAGAATCCAGTTATGGGGCTTGACCCTTCCATTAAGGAATTGTCCGCAGACAATGTATTGAGGAAATGCCCGTTATCATGGCCTAAGCTTTCCTTCACCACAAATGCTATGCTTAATATTGAACAAGAATCAAAAGTATACAAGAGTGCAAGCTCCCTATCTTTAGCAACATTTGCTTCGCTTCTGATCGAGTTTGTTGCGAGGCTTCAGAATCTTGTGGATGAATTTGAGGAGCTTAGTCATAAGGCAAACTTTAAGGATCCCGTGGAACAATCGGATGCGAAAGATGTTGCCGGGTTTTGGACAAGACTGCTAAGGTGCCTGCCATTCATGAGTCGGAAACCGGATTCAGTTTGCCCAACATTATAGTTTTTGATTCAAAGATTGGGCATTCATCACCTATAATTAGTAAGACTGATATTTGTTTGTTTGTTTGTTTTTGCTAATTAAAATATATTTACTTGGATATGTATGGTCAGTAATTCTGCCTGCTCAACATTCATGTTTTTTTAAGTGTCAAACTAAAAAAATGAAAAGACATGAGTAGCACAAGTTGCTTATGTATTTTGACAAAAGTTCCCTCTTTAACAATATCAAACATAAGATTAAAAAAAAAAAAAAAAAAAAAAAAGGGTCCCCTCACTCTTTCAGGCTTTCCTTGTGATCATTTAATTTCTCCTACCCTACTTTTATCTTCTTCTTTTTTTTTTTTGCTTGAATGCTTATCAACCGCCAAAATTTCAAAAGGGAACTGAAAAAGAAAATTTTATAAAATAAACCAGTCTTTATAAGAACTCTTCTTCATTTTTTCTGCCAGGAAAAAAAAATTTTAAAAGAAAAAAGAAAAAAAAAATTCAACTACTCCGCCACGCATAGAAGGTTTTTCATGTAATTTGCAAAATAATAGGACACTTTTAATTGTTTTCTTTCATTCATAAAATATAGAGGATATTGTCGTAGGCATCCTTATTTGTATTAATTGTGGGTAATTGCGTAGGGTGATGACTTGGTTACTGGGGGCATGAATGTTCTGCCGTCAGACATCAATTTTTCTTTCCCCTTTTGACTAAAGATTTGTGGGGCTTTTTTTTTTAACAACCTTTGAATCCGCCTTTGTTACGACCATTCAAACTTTCCCCACTCCAACTCCAGAACCTCATACGACGTCGTTTCTCTAACTCTCCCTCCAACTTTCTTTCCTCTTTCCTTTATCTTTTTTTTTTTGACCTTTTCTTTTCCCTCCTCTTCTCCTTTATGGAAAGGCAGAAAGCTACTCTTACCAGTTTTTGTGAATTGTCAGAAATCAGAACACTTCGAAAAAGAAAAAGGCAGCGACTTTCTAAAAAAAATAAAATAAAATAAAGAAAGCAATCACTGTTATACTTAAACGTGCTGATCATCTCCAAACACTTAAATAAAGAAAAAAAATAATAATTACATACAAATTAAATCCTCTTCATTGTCACCAAATCCCAAACTCCTCTGCTTTTCTCCTCCTGAAAAAGTTTCATTTTTCTTCTGAGAAAAAAAAATGGCGGCCAAGGTGGGGTCATTGAGGCACAGTTTCGTCGAGAAAAGCAAAGAACGACTGCTCTCAAGAAAAGGTTATTCGGATTTCGGTCTTCAGAGCTCCGATGGCCGTGACGGAGCCGCCAAGTTCTGGTGCTTCCGATTCATGTCCGACGGGATCACCAATCTCTGGAACAACTTGCATAACATGTTCGTAGAGTTGTACGAAATGGGCCGATCGGATCCTCGCAAATTCGTGTTCGCCATTAAAATGGGCTTGTCCTTGGCTCTTGTCTCCCTCGTCATCTTCTTCAAAGAGCCTCTCAAAAACGTCAGCCAGTACGCCATCTGGGCAATCCTCACTGTCGTTGTTGTTTTCGAATTCAGCGTAGGTACTATAATATTTTTTGTTCTTTTTGTTTTTTCAATTCAGATCTTGCCGTGTTCTTAGAGAAAACTAATAATTTTAATGTTTTTTTTAGGTGCTACTCTTAACAAAGGATTTAATCGAGCTTTGGGGACATTTTCTGCTGGAGGATTGGCTTTGGGAATTGCGGAAATCTCTGTATTGGCAGGGAAATTTGAGGAAGTTATAGTTGTAATCAGTATTTTCATAGCAGGTTATCGAAAGTAATAAAATTTTTACATTTTTATTTTTCAGCTGAAGGGCTTGTTTGAATTTTGACTTTTTTTTTTCCTCCCTTTGTTTATTATGTTTAGGATTTTGTGCTAGTTATGCGAAACTGCACCCAAGAATGAAGCCATATGAATATGGATTTCGTGTGTTCTTGTTGACATACTGTATAGTCTTGATGTCTGCTAGCAAGGCCTTTTTCCAAACAGCATTTTTTCGGTTGATGCTTATAGCAGTTGGTGCTGGGATATGTTTGGTTGTAAATATATGTATATTCCCCATATGGTCAGGGGAAGATCTGCACAAGTTGGTGGTGAAAAATTTCCGGGGTGTTGCTGCTTCTTTGGAAGGTGAGTTCCGTGTATGTATTGGTATTCGTGTTTTAATTGCTTCAAAGGCAAAAATGTTTGTGTAAGATGTTGAATTGCTTGATCTGAGTAATTTGAGTTCTATTTAGGCTGTGTTAAGGGGTATTTGGCGTGTGTTGAATATGAGAGGATTCCGTCAAAAATTCTCACATACCAAGCTTCTGATGACCCATTATATAGTGGCTATAGATCGGCGGTTCAATCTTCAAGCCAAGAGGAATCCTTGGTGTGTAGATCTTACCATTTTGTGTCTAGGCCTATTCCTTAAGTAGGAACTGAAACAATTCATCGAACTTGCTTGGTGTTTCTGCAGTTGGACTTTGCAATATGGGAGCCACCCCACGGCCCTTATAAAAGCTTCAACTATCCGTGGAGAAACTATGTCAAAGTTGGCGGTGCACTGAGGCATTGTGCATTCATGGTTATGGCGATGCACGGATGTATACTCTCAGAGATCCAGGTAACATGCGCCACTATGTAGATTTCGTGTGCTCATGTGCAATCACAGTGAGTTTTTAGTGAAAGAAGAGTTCATTAAGTTGTTGAGTGAGATGAATAAGTGATTATGTTTGGTAAAGGTGTAGTAATAGTGGAATGCAAAACATTATTTGGAAAATCCGTTTAGGAGTTATGAGAGAATTTGTTCTTAGCATGCCAATGCCATGAAGAAGGCAATCAAAACTATATTCCTACAAACAAGTATGTCTATGTTCCCATGGCATTCTCATAATCTAAGGAAAGAAGAGTTTATTATGTATGTCTTGCAATTGTGACGTTTGCAGGCACCGCCAGAAAAGAGAAATGTGTTCCAAAGCAAGCTTCAACGGGTTGGTACGGAGGGAGCTAAAGTGTTGCGTGACCTTGGAAGCAAAGTTGAAAAGATGGAAAAACTAAGTTCTAACGACATACTTCTTGAAGTACACGAGGCAGCAGAAGACTTGCAGATGAAGATTGACCAGAACTCTTACATTCTTGTCAATTATGAGAGCTGGCAAGGAGAGAAACGGCCGAAGGACTTTGATGCCGAGAGTTTAATGGATCTCAAAGAGAATGAAAACAAAAATTTGGTGATTTCATCGCTCAGTGAAATGTGGGATGCCCAGAATTCAGTCACGGGCCTTGATCCTTCCATGTCAGAGGTGTCCTCAGATAATGTTATGAGGAAACAGTTAGTATCATGGCCAAGGTTATCCTTCTCCACAAATGCCATGCCTAATATTGAACAAGAATCAAAAGTATATGAGAGTGCAAGCTCCTTGTCTTTAGCAACATTTGCTTCGCTTCTGATTGAATTCGTTGCTAGGCTTCAGAACCTTGTGGATGAATTTGAAGAGCTTAGTCAGAACGCAAACTTTAAGGATCCCGTGGAACAATCAGATGCCAAAGAGGTTGCCGGGTTTTGGACAAACCTGCTAAGGCGCCTTCCATTCACGAGTCGAAAACGGGATCCAGTTTCCTCAACATTATAGTTTCGACTCTATATATTAGGAATGATGTCCTAAAAGCATGTGATGTAATAGGATATTTATTATTTATTTAATAAAAGAGTTTATTTCTTATTTTATGTGCATATACTATTGAATATTTTATGAATATCACTGAAAATTTCATGATTATTTATGTGGCGTTAAACATTATATATAAGTGTTATATGCAAGAAGATAATATTTAAAGATAATCAAAATGATTTTTGTAATGAATTTAATTAAAGTTCAAAATCTTTAACTAAAACATTACTAATATATGTTATTCTCGTTCAAAATGGAACAATGTTATCCGCACTGTTAATATGAAGAGATATTGAATAAGTGTATTACGTATAATGAAATTATGTGGAACATGGATATAGATACAATATAAATTTCTAACAATTTCCACTAAGTAAAAAAATTCTAATTCAAAATGGAACAATGTTATCTGCACTGTTAATATGAAGAGATATTGAATAAGTGTATTACGTATAATGAAATTATGTGGAACATGGATAGATACAATATAAATTTCTAACAATTTCCACTAAGTAAAAAAATTCTAATTGAGTCTACTGATTGTCTTATATAAATGATTTTAATCATGATTTATTAGCAGACTCATATTTGTGGATTTATATATTTTTTATTTACTTGGTATGGATTCTGAGATCATGAATCCTATTTCTTGTATTTTGGAGACATGATGAAGTAAGTAGCCTGGAATGTTATTATACGATATGAAATCCATTCATTCTTGAGAAAGAAGTAAATAAATAATTCTCTTAAAAGTTGATTTGGTACTTGAACCAGTTGGAGTTCCAATTCATAAATTTATTTTATGAATCATTGTCCATTAGAGAATCAATAGTACTCAAGGATAAATATGTAATTAGAGGGGTTAACGGATTTCATCTAACTTTAATTATGAATTATTTATTGAGGATTGATCTATATGTAATGACTATATCAAATGAACACCTCACAATTTAAAAGTAATTTTTGTCTATAATTACAAGAGTGTAATTTCAATTTTATAGTAGAGTAACTTTTGAAATTAATTAGTTAATTAAAGAGTTTAATTAATTATTAATTTTATTGGAGTTTGAAATTATAGGTTCATGAATCCCCGCGCCGTCCTTGTAATCCTACAAGACACTAAAAGCAAAATGAGAATTTTAGAATTATGATATTTTAAAATAAAACACTCAAGAATAATTAATTGAGAATTAATTATAAATTAAATAATGTGATTATTTAAATTTAAATTTAAATTTTAGAACACACATGTGAAGGTGTTCACATAGTGTGAACACTAGCACAGTGTGAATCCCTATAGAAGTCAGTTGCTTGCTCTCCAAGTTATCCAATTGACTTATTTGATAAGTTGTCCAATCTGAAATTCAAATTAATTTAAGTTTGACTTTAATTGGAATTTGAATTTGAGTCAAAATTGGACTGTAGGATAAATGCAGAATTTTGTCTCATTCTTTACTTGCAGTATGCGCTTAGTGGTGGCCGACCATCATGTGGATAAGGGAGAGTGGATTTTGTTTCAAAACCAAATTAGAAGTGGAAGATAATAATTAAGCTTTATCGTAGAGATAAAGATTAAACTTATTCTACAAGTCTGACTAATAGAAGTTAGAATTAAAATGTAGGATAAATGCAGAATTTTGTCTCATTCTCTACCTGCAGTATGCGCTTAGTGGTGGTCGACCATCATGTGGATAAGGGAGAGTGGATTTTGTTTCAAAACCAAATTAGAAGTGGAAGATAATTATCAAGCTTTATCTTAGAGATAAAGATTAAACTTCTTCTACGAGTCTAATTACTACTCTATAAAGAAGATATTCTAGAAAATTAGGTAACACAATTTTTGTTCTTCCTAGCATAGGTGGCCGAATTATAGAATGTGTGGAAAGGAAAAAATTTCTCTCAAATTTCACGTCATGCATGTGTTGGTGTTCGTAGAAAACTTGTGTTTATTTATTAATTCCGTTTTATTTCAGGTGTGCCCTCACATACGTCTTCGTAGATTCTAAGAATTGACAAGAAATATTAGGGTGTTCTAAACTAGCTTGCAACAAAGAATGTTTATGGTCAAAGAACTTACGTTATCGACCTAATCGTACGCTAAGTAAATAGATTAATTTTGATTAATTTATTCGTGTATAAATAATATAATCTATAAAGTATCTCAAAATTTTATAAAAATTCTTATTATACACGATCCGTTAAATATACACTTCCCCACCAAAATCATTTAAGAAACCAACACTATGTTTGGTCATTCATCACCAATTAGTAAGACCAGTTGACATACTAATGTTTGTTTGTTTATTTGTTTTTACCAATACAAATGTATTTAACTGATATGTTTACAGGCAGCAGTTCTGCCAACCCAAAGATGAGCACAGCCATTGAAGAGGGCCTGGAGGATCTCTCCTCTCATATATATATATATATATATATATATTTTTTTTTTTTTTTTCCCCTTTGTTTTTATGATTATGAGAAAAGCCAAACTTGGAAATCCCCAGTGTCAGGGACATTAAAAAATGCCGATATTATAGAATATAAAATCACATATATAAGTGAGTAAATGTGATAGAAATGAAAAACAAAGAGGAAGAAACTTTCCAGTCAATTTCATCATTTACATACATGCATACTCTCTTTGAAGATATTTATAGAATAGAAGCAAAAGAGGTTCAGAGGAAAAAAAAAAAAAACAAGGGGGCGAGCATGAAAGGATTTCGTTGGTTCCTCCCTTGACTTTCTTACAATGTTTGCCTCTCTTTCAAAAGCTTTACCATTCAGTTATTTAATCCTCATGTTTACTGAGATGTTTCAAGTCATGGAATTGGTCTAATTCAGTTAAAGCCTAAACAGAATTTCTATCTGTTTGACAATCTAAGAGCTTGTTTGGAACTTGAATTTGTACCATGGTTCGAATAATGCATATCTCACAAAAATTTAAACTTAAAAAGTTCTGCAACAATATTTCTCTCATAAAATTTAAATTTTTATACAAACTGTTGTGTGGAAAAATATGATGGACACCTGGACCAACGGCACCACGACACGTGGCTATACTTGCTTTCCGCCGAGTACTCAACCCTCGACGCTTCGTTTCCCTCAAGATTAGTTGTAGAGCCCGAAGATGAAGTCCATGATTAGGACGACGACCCCATGAGGCGTCGATGGTTGACTCCGCCTGGGTTGACACGACAAGGTCCCTCGACTACAGAAAAGATCGCTAGAAAGGGCGAGAAAGGCTAAACAGCGCTGACGACGAGGGGAACGTCCCTTTAAGACACGACGGGTTACGTGCAAAAGTAAGAGAAGTCTGACAACATTAATTGTAAGTTTACAAACCGCCCTCCCCAAGGGACAGAAAAGCATTACGGAGAGTCATAGAGCCGTAATAGAAGACTAATTGGTTGAGTGAACAGTACTAATTAGTGGGCTATGTCTAGGCCTAGAGAGGGAGAGCACTTGAGTGTTCCTACCTACGAATGAAACCCACCCAGTGAAAGAAGCCCGAGTATAAAAGAAAAAGGACCCCCAATAGGGAAAATGGCCCAGAGATTCCAGAGGAGAAAGAACAAGACAGTGAAAGAAGACCGAGTATAAAAGAAAAATGACCCCCAATAGGGAAAATGGCCCAGAGATTCCAGAGGAGAAAGAACAAGAGAGAGAGATATCATTTATTGTAAATTATAATCTCCACAAAAGAAATACAATATACACAGTAGATGTAGCTCTAATTTTATAGAGTGAACCACTATAAAATTCTTCTTGTTCATTTACATACAGTTTATTCAAACACAAAAATACTTAAATCAAACTAGAATCCACACTTTCAATAAACCCACAAGCCGATAATCTAAAGGGTAACCCCAAGGTAATCCGGCGAGTTTATTGTTGACGAAATCCAACCGTCAACACAAATCATCCGGTGTAAATCTACGAAACTAAACGAGTCTTAACCGTGTGAAAATAAAACTATCCGGTGTAAATCTACGAAACTAAACGAGTCTTAACCGTGTGAAAATAATAATTTAAGAAAATGCTAAGAAAGTCGCACAGTACTAATATTTGGAAAGACCTTTTCTGCTTCACTTTCCCAATTTCCCCAGCTAGAATTACAGTAAGAACGAGAAGAGAAGGACATTGTGTGCGTGGGCCATTAATTTGAACTTTGAAGGCAAAAACTGGAAAAATGATGATATGGGGACACATTCCCAGCGGATGGAAACTGGCCCTTATACTGCTTCTTATTGGCCGATATTTAATGGTCACATTGTGGCCTCCTAATATGACTTCAAAATATCATTCATGGAATGTGTGACGAACGAGAAGAATTGAAACTGAACTTTCTAGATACCAAGAATTTGTAGATCCCAGCAAAATCACGACAGATATTTTCTGCTAGCAAATTTTGTACAGTTTATTTATTTTGACTTAAATTACATTAATACGTGTGAATTAAGATGTAGGCCGGTATCAGTCCCACTCAATTTATTACTTCTAAGTAGTTGAAAATTTCGTAATTTTATTCTTAAGCCACCTACTCAAATTTTTTTTTTTTTTACTTATATGTATGCCCTCACTTCATATCACTTTACTCTTTTAGTTTTTTAACCTTTTATCTAATATAAATTGAGAAATAAATTTTTGATCAAAAGGTGAACACTCATTATCACCTATTGTAATATGTCTTATTAGTTTCTTTTTTTTTTCCATAGCTCTTGAAAAATATTGATTGTGATACATATTTTTCATGTTATTATTTTCTCAAAAAAGGGTATGCCCCACTGAAGTGGAAAGATTGTGTATGTATCAATGGACTAAAGTTAAACTCAATAAAAAAAACTTGACGATCTAGTGGCTAAGAATTTTTGCAATAATCAACTAGCCACAAATAGGTTGGTTGTTAAAGCATTAATGACTTGAAAAGAATGGAAAAGACACTGATAAACCAAACTGAAATGTCACGTAAAAGTATTTTGTAAGAAGGAAAGGAAGAAAAATAATGGACGTAATACGAATAATTTGATACGATAGAAAAGAAAAAAAAAAAGTATTTTAATAATTTTTATCTTATTTATTTACTTATATAGGGGATGTCAGTTATAAAATTTTGCGTTCTCCATGCTTTTATATTACGATTTAATGTGAGGTTTATATTCTACGATTATACTTTGGTGCAAAACGTCGGTTTTTATCAATTTGGTAGCTGAACTGGCCACATCACTTTTTAAGAGTGAAGAACTGAATGGAAAAATCGGTTGGTTTATTGACCAGCAACCAAGGGTAGTAATTTGTGTTTGGGTTGAGAGTTAATATTTATAGAAATGACTTTAATTTTAATACGACTTGTGACACAAGTGAGTAGAGAAATCACGACTCTAATATGACCCACCATAATACGAGTTGACACTAACACGATCCGCATAAATATGTAACCTTTATGAAATACAACCAACGATCAACCCGTAACATGCTCAACCTGAAATTAATCTGCAACTTGTCAATGACCTGCAATTTTTTACTTTAAATATACAATTTATGTACTAAAATCATATAAAAATAACATAAAACACATGTTCTAAAAATTAAACCAATTCCATACCATAACAACAATTAAGGTCTAAACATTCAAAACACATCAATCAAAACTAGAAAATAAATATATTTTTAAAATAATAGAATAATTGAGCATGTAAATTTAGTGTTACGCAGATTGGCATTAATACAACCATTTTGTTACAGGTCACTTTTGGGTTGGCACTAAAATAATCTGTGACTAATTGTTTTGACACTAATCCTTAAAAAATCATGTTATAACACATATTGTCAGTCCTACCAACAACGTTGATTTCTAGTAGTTTTTCAGGCTATAAAAACCTGCAATTCAATTCTAAAGTAAGTTTCAAAACACCAAGCGAACATTGAACTACCCACTGCTTAAGTGGATCGGTTAACCAAGTAATGTACGCGGTGCTGACCTTGTTAGTTTTCTACGAGTGGTTTGCTCAATGACGAAAAGTTAACTAATTTGAAAGTGAGGAAAAAAAAAGTAATTTCAATTTGCTTCTCTTGTGACAACATTTCTCTCTTCCATCTCCTCCAGCCTTGCAAGTTGCATGAATTAACAATGGGTTTCTAGGTTTTATTTTATTTTATTTTATTTTTAAAAAACCTTATTTCTCAATACTCTCCACTTCTATAGCTTACCTTTCTAAAACAACTCATTCTCATCCTTTCCAATTTCTCCTGATAAAAGTATCACCTTCACTCCTCTCCATTATCTGGAAATTGTAGAAAAATGCTCCTCTAACAAGAAAGAATAAAATATTTGTGCCCTTTGTTAAATACTATAAGATTTATATTCACACTTATTTCTTCCATAATGCTGCACAAAACAAAACACACTTTTTAATTTTTCTCTTTTCCTTTTCATAAATAAAAAAGTGGAATTGAAATATTATGATTTTTTAAAATATTTTAGGACTAAAAAATTACATAATGATTGATTATTATAATGATTTTACTTTTTTTTTTTCCTATTTGAAAAATAATCTGAATGATGTTCTATATTTTAACCTAATACGTAAGATTAGGTTATACACTCACCCTTCTTTTCTCTACCTTTTCGTCACCACCGAACATCTTCCAAGCCCAAAAGAAGCCCACGGGCTAGAAGGCCTTGTTCATTCGTATTATTCTTGTGGGCCTAATTGGGTTTGCAAACGTGTAATACGACAAGACTTACACTCTCGTAAACAGAGACAGCCGGCGGGAAGACAAAGGCACTGAGATCGGTAAGACCGCTTCCATTTCTCACTTTTCTTTTCTTTTCTTAATTAATATAATATAATTAAATTCATTTCGTCGCAGGAAATGTGAAATTTCTTTTACAATTTCTCTCTTTACAGTGGTTAATCGATTGGGCAATATTCAATTCTTGCATTCTGTTTGGTTGCCGAGAAAGTTGAGGAAAGCAAGGCGAAATTACACTTCATTTTTGGTGCGTGTTTCTGTTTTCGTCATGCATTCTAATCACAGAATTTGGAGAAGAATTCAATTCAAATGAGCTAATTAATGAGGTGTTCTACTATTGTTTCTGAATCTTCTTAGATCCTATATAAATACGGCAATTTAAATACTAATTTTTTTATTCACGATTTATCTGCTCCCAAATGCACATATATAAATATGTATTTTGGAATAATTTATACAGTTCTTGGTACTTCTTCTATTGTCATTTTGGGCTAGTTTGATATTTGAGGTCCGATCTAGGGCTTTTCTCAGTTAGTTTGCGTTGTTTCCTGGGAAATTGTAGTAATAATATCGTTTAGGGAAATTCGTGGAATTATATTGTAGACTGTGGTGGAATTATATTGTAGACTGTGGTCGAATTTACGGTTTAGGGGTTCTATAATCTTGTTTTCGTGCTTTTCTAACACATTCTCAGCAATGAAGTGTGGATCATCTTATCATTATGGTTCTAAAATTTTTATGAGTTTTTTGTGTTTGGTTTCTATTTCATTGCCTTTTTCCCCCTTTTGATTATAATGAAGGCCTAGTCTTTTCTTATGTGATTGTTTATTTAGTTTACCAGTTTATAATTTATTTTCCAGATGACATTTTTTTCTGGGCATTGATGAATTACATGTGACAATATGTAGTAACCAACACGCAACAGTTCTTCTGACGTTTTTCACCCTAATGTTTTCTGAAGATCTGGGATACATTTTGAGTGAGGATGTCTTCAGTTGACGACCCGCTCTATCCAATAGCTGTTCTCATTGATGAGCTGAAAAATGACGACATCCAGCTGCGCTTGAACTCGATTCGGAGGCTATCAACAATTGCACGGGCTCTTGGGGAGGAGCGTACTCGTAAGGAATTGATCCCGTTTCTGAGTGAAAACAATGACGATGACGACGAGGTTCTCCTTGCAATGGCAGAAGAGCTGGGAGTGTTTATTCCATATGTTGGTGGAGTGGAGCATGCCCATGTTTTGCTTCCGCCTTTGGAGACCCTATGCACTGTTGAAGAAACCTGTGTGAGGGATAAAGCTGTAGAATCTTTGTGTAGAATTGGATCTCAAATGAGGGAGACTGACTTGGTTGATTGGTTTATTCCTCTTGTAAAGGTCAGAAAACTCGTTTTTACATTTATTTAATGTGTACTTTTTAACATCGTTTTCTTCGAAGAGATGGAAGGATTTTTTAGTTTTCATCATGGTTGAGGAAGGGGTATATTTAGAAGATATCATTTGAGAATAGTTGAATTGGAAAGCTAGAATAACTTTGGTCATGCATGATATGAGTATCTTGAAGTTCACAATTTATTTGCAATGTACCCTTGCACAAGTAACACGATCCACTCATTAATTCTTTATTAACTCATGATTCAACGTCCTATTTTCAGAGATTGGCTGCTGGTGAATGGTTTACTGCTCGAGTTTCTGCATGTGGGCTTTTTCACATTGCATATCCCGGTGCACCGGAGGCGCTGAAAACAGAGCTGCGATCAATATACACCCAATTGTGTACAGATGACATGCCTATGGTTAGGAGGTCTGCTGCCACAAATTTGGGGAAATTTGCAGCGACTGTTGAGCCTGCTCATTTGAAGACAGATATTATGTCAATGTTTGATGATCTTACACAAGATGGTAAGGGTTTAGCGTGGGTTCATATGAATGTTGATGACCATCTATTTTTTATTGTTTTCAATTAATTCTGTTTAATGTCTACCGATACTTTCAGATTATTTGCAATTATTGGGTTATCATTGCCTGATATATTCTTATGTGGCCCATAGTAATTCAGGAAGTGCATGTGTTTTGATATCTTACTGCAATATAATTAGCAAGGACCTCTTATGTTTTCATTATTTTTTTCATCACCAGAGCAAGATTCTGTTAGATTGCTGGCTGTTGAAAATTGTGCAGCTCTTGGAAAGTTGTTGGAACCCCAAGATTGTGTCACACATATCCTCCCAGTTATTGTTACCTTTTCGCAGGTCTGTGAGCCAATATAGATCATTTTTGCTGTTAAACTCTACAATATTAATAAATGTTGGTCAAGAATCTTCATAAAATATTCTTTCCTTGGACCTTTAATTAAAAAAAAAAAAATCTATGTAGATTCTTGGTTACCATGCATAACTTCTTGCAAATTCCTTGTTGAAGATAGGTCTGTCCATGTTGTGTCCAACTGTTACATACTTTCTTGGTCATATACAATATCACGTAGCTGTTTTAAGGAATTTTACTAGACAGCGGAATCTTGTGTGAAAACTCAGGTAATAGGTATAATGTAAGTACTAGGCAATGAATTCACTCATTTTAATATTTAGTATTTTTGCTTGAACACTTTGCGTAAGTAGCTTGAATGTAGATTGGGCTTTATATTACATATGTTAGAAATATTTTCAGAAGCAGGGGTATGGATAACTGCAATAGAAACAAATATTAGGAATTTGCAGTGACTCAATAATCTGAGTCTTGTTCAATGCATTCAATCAGATAATCTGATACTCGTTTTGCTAATTTTGTAAGCTTGTATTTGTTATATCTGAATAGGATAAGTCTTGGCGTGTTCGTTACATGGTTGCAAATCAATTGTATGAGCTTTGTGAAGCTGTGGGGCCTGAACCTACGAGGTAATAAATCTGTCTAAATTCAGACTTATTTTTAGTATAATTAAGAGCAGAAAACTATAATCTTTCATGTTTTGCCACATAATTAGAACCATCTTTTCTTTGGCTAAGCCAGATTTCCGTATCTGCTTGTGTAATGATTATGTGTTGTTCCCTAGATTGTATATTGAATGTATGATTAATTGTTTTATCCAAAGGACTGACTTGGTCCCTGCATATGTGCGATTGCTTCGCGATAACGAGGCCGAAGTGCGTATAGCATCTGCTGGCAGAGTGACAAAATTTTGCCGGATTTTAAGTCCAGACATTGCAATTCAGCATATTCTTCCTTGCGTTAAGGTGAAATGCTAATCAGAAGTTCTTAATTTGCTAATTTTCTTACCTGCCAATTAGGTGAGCTTCACTTCCAACTCTCACTGTCTTGTGACAAACCATGCAGGAACTATCAACAGATTCTTCTCAACATGTTCGCTCTGCTTTGGCTTCAGTCATAATGGGAATGGCTCCTATCTTAGGAAAGGTAAGAGTGTGGTACAGCATGCAGCGTGCTTAGCATGATCCAGGAAAGAACTTTTCTGCAATCATATTTGTAAGCAATGGAAGATATAAAAATTCTTTTATTCCTTCATAGTTTCAGAAAAATTGTACAGGGATTATATAGACTTGGTGAGGTCTAATCTAATCCCTAAAACAGAGACACAATACAAAGTCAAATATCCTCTCCTAATATCCGGATTCTCTATCTCCTAATATCCGGTCATACAGCCATACAACTATTCCACAGCTCATAGTTTCCTAATTTACCGACACTCCCCCTAAAGTTGGTGCATAGATATTGATCATGCCCAACTTGCTTACACATGAATCAAATGACTATCTCTGCAACCCTTTGGTGAAGGCGTTTGCAATTTGTTGAGTGGTTGGTAAGAATGGTACACAAATGACTCCATCTTTAAGTTTCTCCTTTATGAAGTGTTTGTCAATTTCTACATGCTTCGTACGATTATGTTGAACTGGGTTATTAGCAATACTGATAGCCGCCTTATTATCACAGAATAGTTTCATGGGTAGTTCTACAGGTTCATGGAGGTCTTCCAGCACCTTCTTCAGCCAAAGTATCTCACAAATTCCTTGAGCCATTGCCTTGTATTCTGCTTCTGCACTACTTCTGGCTACCACATTCTGTTTTTTGCTTCTCCATGTTACCAAATTTCCCCATAGAAAAAAGTACAATATCCAGAAGTGGATCTTCTGTCAGTCACAGAGCCATTGCCCAGTTTTACCTACACTTTGTTCAGATTGGTGTCCGCCTTATTCTTTGTTCAGATATAAGCTATCACCACCTTTCTTTTAGTCGTTTCTCCTCTGCATTTTTTCTTTTTTTGGGCCTGGGCTTTTGTTGTTGGAGGAATTTGGTTGGGGGGATTATTGTGTATCAGGTGTCTCTACTGTTGTCCTTAATAGAGTTATCTGCTACATGTTAGTGGACAAGGTTTGCTGCTAAAAGATGTCTTTAGTGGGGGAAAATTAGGAGAGTTTTGGTCTGCTAACTAGCTTCTCATTTATCTCAAGAGGTTGATGGCTAATTTTCCTCAAAATTGTAAATTGTTCAAATTTATGATATACGGAGTAAAAGATGAAGAAATCATGCTTATCCTTCAATATGTGAGAGTTCAGAAAGGGCCATGCCTTCAAATATATTGATAGATTTTTAGCTGACTTCTTGGTGCATGTCTCTTGATCATTGAACATTGGGCTTTTATTATCCTTTTGGAATCACCCTATCCTTTCAGTGTGATGTAAAAAAAAAAAAAAAAATTGCATTAAGAATTACAGAAATTGCTGATTTAGTGTTGTAGGTCTAGGGCAGAAAAATTGTTTATTGCTCTAATAATTCTATACAATATTTACAAGACTTTATAGGGAAAGCATACCACTGAATTAGGTATAGAAATACCTTCATTGAAGGAGATCCTTATTTCAAGGAATCTCTTTATTTTGAAAAAATAAACTACTTTCTATCTATCCCTAATTGACCGGTTTGATTGAATAACCAGGTCAAAGATCCTACTTTCCTGATTTTGACACTCCCTTCAAGTTGGTGCATAGATATCTATCATGCCCAACTTGTTAACAAGAACCTTAAAGCAAGGTTTTAAAAGGCGGGATCGAGCCTCAAGGCGTTTTGCCTTACGAGGCCAGGTGTATTGCCTTTACGAGGCGAGGCGTAAGCCTCAAGGCGCTTTGAGGCGTAAGCCTAAAAAAATGCCTGTAAAAAATTTAGAAAAAAAAATAATAGTAACAAAAACTAAATCCATACTTAATAATTATTAAAGACAAGAAATTTAACCAAACATCCACATAAAGACTAAATAATTATCAAATCCTAATATCATAAAGTTCATAATGCACTTCTAAAAGCCTAATTGCCCAACTCATCAATCATCATCACTACTAATGCATATCAAGCCACTAACCTATCCTCTTCTTTTTAGAGCTTTTTTTAGCTCTAGTACTAGTACTAGTACCTTCTCCATCCTCAAAAAGATCAATGTCAAGATTGTCAATTGCTTCATTCCTTTGAATTTCACCTTCATTTTCATTTCCAGCTATCCATTCATCATCAGATGGCAACTCATCAATGATTAAGGGATCCTCATCTTGCTAAAGTGCCTTTTTTTTTCAAATGTCGATCTTTTAGCTCCTTGTTGGACATGATGTAGACCAAGGAATTTATCTTTTGTGCATTTCTTTTCTTTGTATGAACTTTGTTGTGGGTACTCCAATTGCGTTCACATCCCGAAGGTGAACAAGTGAGACTCAAAACTCTAACTGCAAAGCTAGCCAACTCTAGGGTATCATCTCCAAATTGGGACCACCAATCATCTGAATTTAAAATTAAGATGAAAATAATTAGCCAAACAATCTAAACTGTTTTATTAGTCAAAATTAATAGGATAGTTTCTACTTACTAGGATTGCATTTCATGTATGATACTTGAGCTTGACGAAGCCCAAAAAACCCTTTCTTCTGTCGAAATTCATCTAGTTGGAGGTCGGCCTTCTCTAGATCATTTGGGTCCTTAAACATCCTATTCATGCAATGGTACAAACCAAGCTTGATCTCAGGATGGTTGGAAGGATTATCGGAGTATCGAATCCTTAGATTCAAGTAGTATGTTGCGGCATGCAAATGTTGATGCAATTGAAAATCCTACTTTTCGTCAATGATCTCCCAAATCTCCTTGTAGTCTTTCTCTTCACCTCCCAAGTTTTTAGCAATTTCCTCTTTTGCCTTGTGCATAGCCCCATATATAAATCCCAAGGGGGACATCTTTTCAGAGTCGACTAATCTCAACACCTTCACTATGGGTTGTGTAGACTTAAGAACATACCCAACAACAGTCCAAAACTGATTATCCTTCATGACTGTCTTTTTCACTTCTTTCCCATCTGGTGTCTTTGCATATGAACTAGTGTTCCATTCCTCCGATACAAACATAGATTGTAGAGGCTGCATTAGTCTATAGATGCACTCCAAAGTCAGATAGGCAGTAGCAAATCTTGTTGTAGCAGGTCGAACAAGATCCCTTTTAGTAAACTTTCTCATCAATGACAACACCCAATGGTGATTATACACATTTGCTAACTTTTTTGCTTTCACCAAAGCCTTTTTATGTTGTGGCAATTCTCCTAATTTTTCAAGTATCAAATCAATGCAATGAGCATCACAAGGAGTCCAAAATAAGTGTTTTTTTTTTCTTTTCTCCATTAGTTTTGCTCCAGTAGCCTTATAAGCACTTGCATTGTCAGTCACAACTTGAACAACAAGATCTTCCCCAACTTCTTCAACAATCTCATCAAGCATCTCAAACAATAGATTTGCATCTTTCTTTTTATCAGAGGCATCAATAGATCTCAAGAAAATAGTTCCATGAGGATTATTGACTAAAAAGTTGATCAAACCTCGATTTCTAGCATCTGACCAACCATCAGATAAAATAGAAACTCCTGTTTGTTTCCAAGTCATTTCAACATCCTCCACAAATTTTTCAGTGGTAAGTACTTCCTCCTTCAAAATCCATGTTCTAAGTTCATGCATACTTGGGGGTACAAGACCTCTACCATAGTTGCCAATTGATCTACACATATTAAAATAGGAGGGGCTCCGAGCAATATTGAAAGCAAGTGCATTTTTATAAAAAAACCTACCAATGTTGAGACATACTCGAGAACGGGCCTCTTTCTCACTTGATGTCGTTCTAAGGGAAGGTCTTTCGTTTGCTTTCTTATCATCCACATTGTTCAAAAACCTGTCCATGGGACCTCTAACTCCTCTATCACTAACCACTTGTGGCGGTTGACAAGAGTCGACAAATCCATCACTATAATAAGAGCCAACATCCACCATTTTTTTAAAATTCTGATGCGCAAACTGTTTTTCAGCAGCCCACTTGTTCATATAGTCATTAGTTTCTTTCTTCACATCATCAAGAACCTAGGACAAGGCTTTACATTCTTATGAGTGCAAGCAAGGTGTTCTTTCATTCTCTTAACACCTCCTTTAATAATTTGATTGCAAAACACACATTGGAGGTAAACATTAGTCCTTTTGTCATTTTTTGATGTAATTTCTTTTTCATATTTCCAAGCCGGATCCCGTCTCCCACTACGACAACCGCTAGCATGTTGTGGAGGTATCATCTTATTTCCTAACTTAAAAACGAAAAAAAAAACCAGAATTACAAGAGAAAAACAAACAATATAACATATAATTGAAGATTGTTAAGCCTTATCACTTGTAACACACGACCCATATATTGCTGAAGTAAAATAACACTTGTCACTTGTACCATGACCTACATATTTATGAAACTAAAGATAGCACTTGTCACTTGTAACACGACCCACATATTAGAGTAAGCCTTCAAATGAAAACTGTAACAAATGGTTTATGTTTCTCTCATAAACACAGATAAGGAAACATCAATGCATAAGAATTGTCGAATTAGAGAATTTAAATTAGGATAACTTCTGGTTATTGTTATCCAGTTAGGAGTATTTGTTTTTCAAATAAGGAGATAAAGAGATATCCTAAATCTCCATATTAGCTAGTATTTATCTCTTAAGTTAGGATTTATCTATTTACTAGAATTATGGGATTCAATGACAAGAGTGTTGTCATGCTTACCTATAAATACTAGTAGTCTTTTATCAAACGTATAATAAGAAAAAATATTTTTTCCCTCTCTATAAACTACATGGTATCAGAGCCTAGGGTTTCCTTCTACGTTAAACCCTAATGGTTAAAACAGCCATGACCGGAGCAAGCAAGTCGTCTTCCTCGGGAGTCATAGCAGAGAGCGTGCAATCCAAGACCATTGTCATAAACAGTGGTATGGATTTTTCCACATCGAATTCTTTCCTTCAAATTACCGTTCACAAATTAAATGGTAAAAATTACCTAGAGTGGGTTCAGTCTGTAAAACTTGCAATTGATGGCAGAGGCAAACTAGGACAC